GTGTGTGTGTGTGTGTGTCATATCCCTGAAATTCAGTTTCTCCCCTGATACCACCTCATGCTGGCACCTGGTCTGAACACGAGGATTACTTCCCTAAAAGGTAGAGTCTTCTGCTACAGGCTCTGCAGAAACCTCGGGGTAGGGGAAGGCCAGAGTGCTAGATGAACCTTTCCTTACGGGCTCCCTCCACCTGCCCCATGACTTCTCTTACATTTCAGGTAAGCTACTTAATAAAACTTGCTGTCTGAACGGAGGGACGTGCATCCTGGGCTCTTTCTGTGCCTGTCCTCCTTCCTTCTACGGACGCAACTGTGAACGTGATACACGAAAAGAGTAGGCCGCTGGAGGGGACAGGACTGGGCGGGGGGGGAGAGGAGTGAGGAACGGGCTGATGGCGCTGTCTCTTCTTTCTCAGACACTGTGGGTCTGTCCTCCATGGCACCTGGCTGCCCAAGAAGTGTTCCCTGTGTAGGTGCTGGCATGGTCAGCTTCACTGTTTTCCTCAGACCTTTCTACCTGGCTGTGGTAAGCAACTCTGCTGTTAGTCCTATCAGGTCCTTTAGATGCCCAAGGGACTCCCTTTCTACCTCTTCTGCCAGGGCCTTCTTCCTGGCCTGACAGGAGATGCCAGCCCAGACCTCCGCTTGTAACATAGGATAAGGACTCTAGGGGACATAGAGCTTAGGAATCCTTGGGAGGCCCTCCCTCAGACACTAGGCCCTTAGGAAGGGCTCCCTTGGATAGGATGTCCCTGGGAAGTACTTCTTTGGATGTGCTCCCTGATACAAAGGATCTTTAGGTGTGGGGTCCTTGGTGAAGGATACTCCCTCAACCCGAACAGTTATGCTGCTACAGAGTTCCCTCAAGTCCACTCGAGGCTGCTGGCCACCAGGCTTCTGCTGGAGACAGTGAACAGAAAAGGGCCTTGCCATTTGAACGCCAAGACGTGACTTCTGTTTTGTTTTTGATCTGCTGGCCTGGAACTTACTCTATAGTCTAAGCTCGCCGCCAACTCCCATCACTCCTCCTGCGTCAGCCTTCACAGTGCTGATATTACAGGGATGCGCCGCTAGCCTTGGATCCACCAGCACTTTGACCCCGCTGGTGAACTTTTCAGACAGGGCCTCACCAGTAACCCTGGTTGGCCTTGAACTCGGGGTGATAATCTGCCTGTGCTGCTCTGTCCCACCCCCAATGCTGAGGTTTAAACTTGGGAGGCACCAGGGCTGATTTTTACTGCATCCTAAAGGTCTATGGTAGTTGCTCACAGCTCCCTTCGTCTTAGAGATCGGAAGGAGACAGTGGCAAGGGCATCGGGACATAAGAGAACAGGGGGGTTGGTGATGTTCCCATTTTGTGTGGCTGGGCTTTTTGTTTTGTTTGTTTACTGTTGTGTTGTTTTGTTTCTTGAGCAATTCGCAGCTGGACTCTTATAATTGAATGTTCAAGTTCACAAAGCAAACAAAAACATAGCTTCATCTGTTACAAGATGAAACCCTACGGCCCACTCCTGGCACAAGGCCTGCTTCTTTACCACTGCACCTTGGATGCTGTGCATAGATAAATCAGCAAATGAAGGTAGAATGATCAGATGAATGGGGACCACATTTTCTTCCTTTAGGACCCAAGATGTGATGTCCTCTTACCAGAGCCTAACCAAGGTCTGCATTAGAATAGAAAGTGTACAGGGAGCGCATTCGGTGGAGCACATGCCTTTAATCCTAGCACTCGGGAGGCAGTGGCAGGCAGTTGGAGGCCAGCCTCGTCTACAAAGTGAGCCCAGGACAGCCAAGGCTACACCTTGAGAAACCAAAAGAACCCTTGCCTCAAAAATAAATAAATAAATAAATAAATAAATAAATAAATAAATAAATAAGGAAAAAGAAAGAATCCAAGGACAGTAATTGCCAATGTAGCTGTTGCTGCTGATCCTGCAGGCCCGTGGTCCTCATCAAGCCCAGCAGTTATGGGTCTCGTGGACCAGCATGCCTTCAGGCAGTGAAGGTGGACTGCTGGTGGGGCTTCCTTTGATGACCAAGATCTCTACCTCTTTCAGATGGCCATGTGATGGACCAGGCTGTCACAGCATCCAGGACTCCCGGGCAAGCACCGTCTGTGCCAACCACGTTCATGCTAGCTGGGGCCTGCCTTTTTCTGGAAATGAAAGTATAAGTGTCACGTGAATTTGATGCCAACCGATGTCATAACAAAGATGTCATTTATCTTAAAATAATGCTCAGATTCGATACCTAACACTCCCCCCCTCTAAGTATTAACTAGGCCTTTACCTCTGCGTGGATCCCGCCCTTTCCGGCTGTGCTGGCAGTCCAAGCCACAGCCTGTGTGTGCTCTAAGGCTGAGCTGTACCCCAGCCTAAAGGCATCGTACAGGAAAGCTGTAGAAGTAGCTAGGGTCTGTACAGAGAGACCAGCAGGTAGGAGGGAAGCAGCTAAGACAGACAGACTGAGAACAGAGTGGGTGGTTTGACCAGTGCTTAGGTAGGACAGAGAACTGAGTTAAAAAGCTCAGTCATCCAGCCAAGCATGGTGGTCCAAACAGGATGCTAAAGGCCATCCCTGGGCTATGTCCTGAGCACTAGGTCAGCGAAGGCTAAATGGCAAGACCCCGACGCAGAAAACCTCAAAAGTGAAAGCTCTCTCCAACCTGTACCATTATATCAACTGCTGTAGAGGGGAGAAAATGTTTATGGTATTGCTGGTAAGACAGGTTATAGAACTATGGATTGTGAAGTCCATGCTTCTGAGTATGCACTATAAAAAACGAGAACTCTGTTGGTCAAGATGTGAGCAGTGCTATTTCTAGGTGGTAAGGCTAGTAATATTTTGCATTGGTGGTTGCTTATTTTTTCCTCTCTCTGTACTTAAAATTTTTTCAAATTCTTCGTGATGAGAATATGTTTAATGTGTTTTCATAAGGAACATGACAAGTATATCATATAGGCCAGACAAGCACCAAAAATCTGGTGGGTGCCCAAACTAGGTTTTTTTGTTTTTCCTTCTTTTTCTCAATTTTTTGAAACATGATCTTGCTTTAAATGTCGCCCAGGCTGGCCTTGAATTCAAATTGCCAAGAATGACCTTGAACTTTGGATCTTTCTACTTCCTAAATGGAAGGATTATAGGCATGTACCACTAGTGCCAGTTTTATGCCAGGCTGTGTGTACTGTGTAAGCATTCTTCCGCCTGAGCTACTTTCTCAAAGGACTCCCCAACTCCCCTAAAAAGTATCAAAAGCCAGGCATCATAGCTACAGTACGCTTGTAATCTCAGCACTGAAGATGCTAAGACAGGAACCAGCTTGGGATACACAGTAGGACTGTGTCTCAAAGCAGGGAAAAAAGATGGGGATGGAAGTTGGAAAGATGTTTCTGGTTAAGTCCTCACTGCCCACGGCTTCCGGCACCCCCATGGCCACCTCTGACTCCCATTCCAGTGGACTCAGAGTCTTCTTCTGACCCCTGGGGTCTCATGTAGCTAGGCACACATACACACAAAATTAAATATTAATAAATCTCGGGGCTGGAGAGATGGCCCAGAACTTGAGAGTATTATTGCTACTCTTGCAGAGGACCTAAGTTGCAGGTGCCTGCAGCCACAAGACTGCTGACGGCCCGGGCCAGGGGATCTGGTGCCCTCTGCTGCCCTCCAGAGGCGCACATGTAAGCAAAGACACTTGTACACATAAGTAGACAGACGTTAAAAAGTCATTTGCATGGGCACAGTTCATGGCTGTTCGGGAGTGAGGACTGTTATCACTTTGTCTTCTCCCGCGTCGTTTGTATTTTTTGTTTCCCGTTATGTCAACTCCTCCTTTTTTTTTGAGGCAGAGGGGGAGGTGTTGGGGAGGCTGATCTGGAACTTGGACTTCTGCCTCAGTTTCCAGTATCATTAAGTACATTTACAGTGGTGTACACTCATTACCCCACCAATCCCTGCAGGAATTTTGTTGTCATTCCGAACAACCTGCTCCCATTAAAGACTACCTTCCCCTCCCTTCCCTCAGCCTCTGACCTCAACTGTGTCTGAATTTGATCCCAGATACCCTGAAGTCACGCAGTGTCTGTCTCTCTATGTCTGGCTTAGCTCACGTAGCGTGTCAGTGAGCTCTGGTCGTGCTGGAGCATGCGCAGTGCACACATGGCGTACAGACGAATCAGGACACATGACTGACACCACATTCACATGTGCACGCGTGAAGTTATACACAAAATAGGTAAATAAATGTAAAGTAATTAAAAGCTAGCCGTCTTGCTGGGTGTCGTGGCGCGCACCTTTAATCCCAGCCCTGTAAACTTAGTCCATAATCTTGTTTCTGAGAGATTCCTTTGCAAGCAGTTTGGTCAGCTGTGTTGAAATTCTTGACGCTCAGCCAGGGAGAGGCCTAAGCCAGAGCTGGGAAATGATGGGCTTTTGACCTTTCTCACGCCCTTCTAACTTGTCCTTGTGGTCATGTTGGGGAAAACGGACAAAGGGGCTCAGTGACTACCCCTCCCCTTGCTTGCACACGCAGGCCATTTCAAGGGGCTAGGCCGAACTTCCGGTTTTTATGGAGAAGGGAACGGAGGGAGCTGGGTTTGCATAGCCGGCAACATCTCGTCAGGCCTGCGATCTGAGCTGTCTCAGCTCTGACATGAACACTGCAAGGCGTCTAGTGTTCGCCCTGCTCTGGGGCCATTTCCTGTCATGGGGTGCTGTTGGGTGATCTCATCCTGGAGCATCAGCTGTTGCTTGGGGGTGTCGTGGGGACAGCGTCCTCCCTTGTCACAGATCAGTCCTTTCTTCCCTGGAATCCAAGGCAAGTACAGAAGAGAGTGAGCCGTGAGAGAAAAGCAGTGGCTAGTCCTGAACGAAGAAGGCTGAGGCGGACGGAATAGGAGTAAAGTAGTTTCTTCAAGACAGGGTTTCTCTGTGTAGCCCTGGCTGTCTTGAAACTCACTGTTGGCCATGCTGGCCTCGAACTCAAAGATCTGCCTGCCTCTGCCTTCCAAGTGCTGGGATTAAAGGTGTGCACCACCACCGTTAAATTATTGTACACGTATGTACACCATGGGGGAATGCCCAAGGAGGCTAGAAGAATGCATCAGATCCCCTGGAACTGCTGGTCGTTGGCTGCCATAGGTGCTGGGAACTGAACCCACGTCCTCTGCAAAAGCAACAATCTCTCTCAACTGCTGAGCCATCTCTCCAGCCCCAAGATTTATTTTATTTTATTTTAAAATAATTATTTTAATTATGTGTATATATGAGGGAGGGGCCCTTGGAGTCCAGGAAAAGGCATCAGATCCGGTCTGGAGTTACAGGCAGTTATGAACCACAGGAGTCCGTTGTTGGGGTCATCTGGAAAAGCAGTAAGTGCTCTAGACAGCTGAGCCATCTCTCCAGCCCCTGGAGTTTCCATTTTTAAGTAGCTAGATGGAGAGCATGGCTAACAGGGCCAGTTTCTCGGTGCGTTTCCATCTCAGAAGGAAACCTCCACAAACAGGCCAAGGGCTTCCCAGCAAGTCTATACTGACAGGGAATACAGAGACTGGGACCCAAAACAACAAAATACCTGAGCTTAGCTCCAAAGCTGTAAGGTTAAGATCAGGAACTCTACCCTGCCTGCCGGTGAGAACTGGACTGGGCTTTGAGGCACAGCTTCTGCTTAAGAATGTTCATTCCAGCTGGGCTCGGTGCCATAAAACCATACATAGTCTCAGCACTCAAGGAGGCAAAGGCAGGAGGGTCTCTGAGTCTGAGGCCAGCCTGGTCTACAGAGGAAGTCCAGGACAGCCAGGGCTTCACAGAGAAACCCTGTCTTGAAAAAAAAAAAAAACAAAAACAAAAACAAAAAAAAACATTTTTTTTACTAACATAACAGCAGGTCACCAGCCTTTACTCAGATAATGGATAATTTCCCAGCCTATGTTTTCTTCATTTTCTGGTACTTCCTCTTCCTTGAAACTTTTGAGTGAGGTAGAGAGAAATTACCTAGAGTCCCCTACAAACATTCTTTTCCACTAAACAGCAGCCTTGAAATTCAAACTCTAGTTTACAGACTCAGGTCCATCAGGTATAAAAAGGACACAGCGAAAGTTGGCAACACATTTTTGTACCCCTCCCACTTCCTGGTTCTGGAAGCTGCTTCCCATGGTAGGAAAGCTTTGATCGCTCTTCTGCTCTCATTCTTCAAGATCATGGGACAATAAACAGGGGCCGGAGCCACTGGCACTGAGTGACTTGAGTGGCTGTTGAGTTTCTAAGGCCCCAATTCTGTGAGCCAAGAAATGGACTCTGCCACACTCAGGATCCCTGCAACATTTCAGTGGTTTGTAGGGTGAACTCCTGAAAAACGATGAATGAACTCGCTTCTTAAGATAGAAGTTACGTGGCTGGAGAAATGGCTCAGAGGTTAAGAGCACTGGCTGCTCTTCCAGGGGTGGTAGCTCACAACTATCTATAGTGAAATCTAGTGCCCTCTTCTGGTGTGCAGGTGTACATACAAAACACACATTGTATACATAATAAATAAATAAACAAATAAATAAATAAATCTTTTTTAAAAAGATTGAAGTTATAACCAGGCAGTGGTGGCATACAGCTGAAATCCCAACACTCTGGGAAGCAAAGACAGATCTCTGTGAGTTTGAGGCCAGCCTGGTATACAAAGGTGAGTCCAGGACAGCTGTGGGGCTGGGGAGATGACTCAGCTGTTAAGAGCATGTGCTGCTCTATCTGAAGACCTGGGTTCGATTCCCAGCACATACATGATGGCCTCCAGCCATCTGTAACTGCAGTTCCAGGGGATGAAATCTGATGACTTCTGGCCTCTGTGGGCTCACATACATACATGCAGGCAAAACACCAATGCACATAAAAGGAAATGAAGTAAATCTTAAAAGATTGTAATGCGCAGTATCCCTAGCCCTATAGAGAGTTCTAAAGGCCTACTATTTTATCATAAAATCAAGACTGTTAATCAGTTCAAAGTCAGCCAGATGGAGGCTGATCTCAGAACAGAGGCCAGGATTACTAGGAAGGTTGGGATGAATTTCCCTCTGATTCTGATACAGAAATAGCAACTCTGCACTGACTCAGTTTCCTTTCACAGACACAAAAATGGGGACGCAGCTGGTTCTTCTTAGCCAAGACCACTCTCTGGTGACCAATGAG